GATGACCTTGGTGAAGGGAATGGATACCGGGAGTAATTTTATAGCGAGAAAAATCTATCATTGTGTGCATAATGATAGCCTGAGCAAAGCTGATTTACCTCAACTATATTAGGATAAATCTTTACAATAATGCGAATGGTAAGCAATACTAATAGAATAATAAGAATAACGTCAAACATTGTATGTAATAAATTACTTTCATCTTATCTTCGAAAATTACCAGTGAAGATGACAAAAATAATGGGATCATTATAATATATTACACTTATTGAACACGTTTAATTAATTCGATAATCTATGCATTGCACGTAAATCTAATTAATCGCACGGATCAGTTAGCACTTCATTAACATAAATCTTTAATATGAATTTTATCGATCAGTTAATAGAAAATGTAAATTTTCTCGTAAAGTATATATTTCAAAACTATATTGCATATTTTATGTTTTAACATGAGAACATTGTTTCATTAATCCTGAATAGTGTTGAGTATATTTAAATATTATTCGTACGAAAACAAATCTAATTTAAAGTGATGAAAAAGTTTATCAGACATTTCTTTCAATATTTTAAAGTGATGCTTTTATAATTCATTTCAGCAACTTTTATAATAGTGCAATCATGTTTAGCAGGAGAGCTTCGGAAATGTGTATTAGAAAGCGCACCCTTCTAACTACTACATTTCTTCAGTATTATTCACAAACAATGATAGACTGCAGCTGAATTCCTAACGTCATTTTTTTCTTCTTATTAACAATCTTTTATATTTGGATAATTTTCAGCACGCACATAAGATGTGTATAGCCTTAAGAAATTTTTTTTGTGCGAAGATTGTTGTGAGATACTCCTTTGTTTCGTGAGGAACGATTGAAAAGATTGCTTGCGTGCATCGGATTTCTACCTCGGCTAAATGCGCCATAATAGCAGGTGTAATCTTCGAGAAAAAGTTGGAGAGCTGAACACAGTGCTCAAATTTGTGATCTTCGCTTTGCAACCAAGCCGAAAGCAAATGACTGCATATTATGCATTAGTATGAACTATGTGTGTGTATTAGTACTATATATACATATTGTTCACTCTTGAAATGATTACATTGTTATGTTTTACCGATATCCCTACTGAATGATAGCTCGCATTATTATTGCTATTATTGAGCAGCGTTGTTCAATGACACTTCTGACAGCGCATTTCAACGTTTCTATTCACGTAATATTTACCCAATAATTCAACGATAAGAGAGTAATAAGATAATGATAAAACAAATTTTAAAACAATCGGGACGCGCTGGTGCGCGTATTTTTATAGAATAACAACGTGTAATTGCTCAAAGTCTCAACAATTTCTAGTCTTGAAAATATTATGCATATTTGAGCAAGGTATAATAATTCTCTATCATTTTGTATGATATTTCGCGCAGGATAAGTTTTAATTGAAATAGCGACAAAGCGATATGTAACACGTACATTTGCTTTATATAATTTTCATGATACGCATTCTACGCTAGTATTATAAATGTCATTAACCCGCAAACGACATGTTATTCGAAAAAATTTCCAACTTCCTTTATTTTATATCACGATCCGGTCGTAAAAATTCTTTAATATCTATGTTCTGATCTCTTCGCATCGTTTTCCCAGCTTATAACGTTAAACTCGATGTCAAACTGCAATCGCAGGACGAGCATTTGGTCTTCGCATTCCCGTTATAGTATCCCCTCTCGCTCTTTCCGCCCTGTAATCATGCGTACCGAACCACATCTGACACACGGACGTTTCGAAAAAAACTCTGCTGAAGATGGTAACGGTGGCTATAAAATATACGATCAGGCAGCTACAGTCGCGCGATGCAACGGAGAAATGAAATTCAATGATATCACGGGACTATCTCAATGAGGGCATAACCGTAATACTCCCAGCAGCAGTCCGCATCGTCTTAAACCGGAGATCATCAAACAGAAAAAAAAAATTAGAACCGCAATATGTAGTAAAAAAAAAGCGCTGTAATAAGGCCAAAACACGTTAACGCATTAAAACGATTTACGTATATATAGCTGTAATTATTTAATGCAAGCAGAGGTCGGTAAAACATCAGTTTGATCGAGCTCATATCCGCTTCTAAAAAGTTGTAGAATAATCGAACGATATATCGAAAATAAAAAGTATCGTCGAGTGATCCACATTCGGACTTGTTGCCATGCGAATAATACCGACGCTCGTGCTCTCGTGAAATAAATTCTGATTCGCGCGATCTAATTCCTTTTAATTAAGTTTTAATAACTAACGCACGCCACTTTCAGTTCTAACGAATAATACGAACACGAGGAATGGATCGTGTTTGTAGAAAACATACTGTACTTACCACGATTCGCCGAGATGTAGCCATTCGTGATTTCATCTTTTTTACTGCGTAATCTGAAAATTATGCACATTTATGCATATGGGAATTGAAAATGCAGAATTATTCCTTTCTCAGTGAAATGGCAAGGACAGATATACCGGAGAGAATGGAAATCCAGGATTGAGAGCATCGGGCGCGGCTGATTAGAAGTACTGTTTTATTTATATGCCATAGTGTAACACTTAAAGATACGTCAAAAGTACACTGAATCCATGGATAACATTACGCTCTATACTTCGCCTCCGTACAAAAGCATCCTCCCGTCTTCATTATTATCAATAGCCATCCTTCTTTCCTTTCTCATCTTACAAACGTTATCACTACCGTACAATACCTTCTTCTACACATCGAATAAATAATTACTACAGCCAAATTTATTAGAACAAGTACAGATGAATCGCATTTAAGTAGATATCTTACGAATTTTCTTCCCTTAATATTCGGACCTGGTCGCCAGACAGAAACGATTCATTGCGCAAGTACGAGGTCTGTTCGAAAAATTCCTGAACTTTCGTAATTGCGTATGAACGGAGTGTCGTAATGAAGTACGGTGGCCTTCCTGCAGAGATCTTGACAAGTAATCTCCCTTAGTCGTGTAATTTTATTATGTTTAGTCATCGCTTCGCGCTGTTTTTGAGTGCAACTTTGTCGTAAAAGAACTTGAAAAATCCTTGACCGAGTCTCATCAAATGACGAAACAAGTTTACGATGATCACTGAACGCACGATTTCATTAAAATTGTTTCATCATTTAATGATATTCAGTAAAGGATTTGCCAAGTTTTATGCAAAATTTTACGTCGATACGCCGCTCGTGAAAGTCAGCCATTTCAAAAATCACAAAACACACACACACACACGACAAGGTTGTACTCGAAGCAACGCGGAACGACTAAACATAATAAAATTATGCGGCTAAGAAAGGTTACTCGTCAAAATCTCTGCTACGCAGGGCTAACAACAACTCCGCTAACTACACTCCGTTCACGCAATTACAAAAATTCGGGAATTTTTTGAACAGACTTCGTATTTCATGCTTTTCGTATTCTAGCATGATCCGTTGACTATAAATCGCAAAAATAGAGATGCGAGATTTCGAACAATTTCGATCGAGCTCACAATTCTCATGGATTCATATATAGATTGACGTTTCACACTTAGATACGAGTGAACATCGTTTTACTTTCTAAAGTAGTTCAACGGAAATCGTGCGACATATATTTATTCCATGATTATTAAATTTCTAAAGCGTTCTAAACGAACGTTATTTGTACGAGAAGAACCGTACAATCACGTATAGCGAAACGCACAATTCACTTTTAGGTAAATCAAAGAATTTGTTCAACTAGTCAATTGTTAAAGAAAAATTTCTGTCACGGTACTTTCAACTCATGAAAATTTATCAAATGTAGGATAACGCTTAAAGAAGTTTTCTTGATCGAACACCAAGCATTAATTACGTATTTCATTACAAGCTCTTTTTCTCCTTTTCGCAAAAAAGCACGTTACAACAAAAAATAGAATAGAGTTTACAACTCTTTCTGCATTATCTTATTAGTTATGATTATTAGAACATACATGTCAAATGTCAAACACAATATTTACCTATCAATCGTTTGAGCAAAACAAACGATCGCTAGAAAAGGAAAGAGCAACGATTAAAAACTATTTTTTTTAGAGAGCTGATTTCACGGGAAGTTATTCGCGAATAAGTCTCTCAATGTGCACTTATAAAAAAAAAATAGATATATAGTTATATATATAGTATATAGTATATAGTATAGATCAGTGCTGCCCAACCTTTTATACATGCAAGCTACTTTTTTTGTTTTAATAGAGCGACCTCGCGATCTACTCATGTACAGAAAAAAAAATATAATATTAAATATAAAATTAGAATGTGATTTCATGATTTATTAAACATATCATTAGAGACAAATAAAGTGTCAAAATATAAAGAGATTAAAAGAAACAAAACAAATATTAAAATTAGAAACATAAATTTTATAATAAAATCAAATAAAGAAAAATCAAAATGTGAAAAGGATCTATCAAAAAATACGTCGCAATCCGATAAATCGCAACCAACTGGTTGGGCATCCCTGATATAGATATATAAGAACCAAATCAATCGCTATCGCTGACACCGATAATCTAATACTTCGTTACTTGCTTAGATTCTTAAATGTGCGCGCATTTATTCGGCGCAAGTGTTCCTATCTAGAGTGAAAGGATGCAAGTCTCTAACAAATATGCTTACAGGTAATAGATTATATCATAGATTAAAAAGTTATTCTTTAAAAAAATATGGCGACAGTACGTAAAATTCGCAAGATCGAGCAAACCTGCTACGAGCACCTCGTGCAGCAACTAACGCTCGCGAAATTGTCGAATCTCTAAGATCTTGTACCTTAAAAACCTTATGTCAACGATCGAATATGGAAATTCTCCAGCGAGACGTGCGGACATTAATATTCAAAGTACGAGATGTGCAGTACGTCACATTAAAGTTTATCAAATAAACACAAAGTTTTAAATCCTTAAATTACTAATTAAATATAAAATTAATTTCCCCTTCCTTTCCTTTCTTTTCAACTCCTCAAACGCTTTATAAATAAAAAATAACATTGCTGCGTTTCGAAATAAAAATTGTTTCATCAAGACGGATAATTATAATGTATCAGCAGTTTTGCTAATTGCTTAAAATTTTCAGTAAAAAAATCCACGCGACTTTTTCCAGGATTTTGTTTTAACAATTAATTTTTCCGTTTCAAAAGATCATGAATTGACTCTCAGGTTAGATGTTGCAAAATTCCGTGAAATCTCCTTTCGTTTTCACCCATGTTACATGCACAAAATTACTACGATGCACTTATATATAATGTATGCCATTTGCGTTGACCACTATGTTATTACTTTGCAATTCTGAGTTTTACAGACAGGCTATCGCGGACTTCATATAATCAAGAACAGCGAATTTACATATGAATGAATATCATTCGATGGATGAATAGAACAATAGCGTTCTCATTCATGAATAGTTTCCTCTGTTCTGTGATATAGAACGTCCCATCATACAATTCAATTTATTTTGCCAAATAGTTTAAAATAACATAATTGCACTTCAATCGTGTTTCGTCATCTGCAGACAAATAAAACAAACTTAAAATTGTGGCTTGCCGCAATAAATGTCAGGATGCCGAAAATTATAGGATATCTTTGTATTGCTATCCCGAACTGCCGCTTGATACTAGAAGACTACCGTCTTCATACAAACAATTTTTTCACGCGAGTGAAAAAAAACGAGATGTGTAATAATCATATATGCATTGTCGTATAACATCTTGCAATGGCTAATTAAGGATCAATCGTCAAAATGAGCCGTATTTATGACATCCGTGAGAACTTTCTTTCCTCGCGAGTCAAAAATTCGCAAGATGGGAGCGGAATTGTATTTTTATATACAGAGTGTCTGGAAGAGATTACGAAACTTTTCGTGAGTGCAATAAACTGAATAGAAAAGTTCTTTAACGTTTTGCAATTTTCACAATAATTATTGAGATAGCAATTAAAAAAGATTGGCAAATGCGCGCGCGTTTCGCAAGCGCATAGGATGTGCGCTTTAGGCGTGACAGCGACGAGTGTCGCACGGCAACGAAACGTTTGATTACTCGGCGAAGACAGAAGTTTTGTCACAGAATACGTGATTAACACGTAAGTAACGAGCGGATAGAAGCTTTACTTTTCGTTGCCGTACGACACTCACCGCTGGCATGCCTAAAACATACATCTCATAGTCTTGTCGCGCAAATCGCACGCTCAATTCTTCTTTCCAATTATTATCTCAATAATTATTGCAAAAATTGCAAAACGTTTCGTAATTCTCTCAGATATTCTGTACAAGAAGGTCTCCCAAAAAGGAAATGTTGAAAAACGTTTTTCACCCAAAATGATGGAGATATGCGACAGTAAAATAATAACGTACTATATGTAACTGTAGCGAATTAATTCTAACTAAATCCCTAATCTTATTAAACGAGAAACAACAGTACCATTAAAAGAAACAGTATTCCGAATCATTTATATATGTGCAAACGAAAAGAAAAGTTATAAAATATATTCTCAAGCAAAATTTTATGTTCATGAGAGCGCAGTTGACATGTAAATTAATTTCTGTTACAAATTGAGCGAGATGATGATAAATTCGATGCAGCACGGCGCGCATACTCATTACTGAAACGCAAATTTATTTGCAGAAACAAACCATTATGAGTCTATGGTAATATCCAATCAGAGTATACATCAAATTGTTGTTTGGAACATGTTTCGCACGATGCAAAAGGGCCAAGGGGAATCGCCGTGAAAAGAAAGCAAGCAGAGGAGAATGAGACCGCATCGAAGGGACAGTTTTTCGGTGTTCTTATTTGTAAATTAATTTACCGTGAGCTGGAATGACCAGTTTTTGAGCAGCTGTTATTGCAGCGGCTGACACTGCATCCGCCAATTTCGCGATTATGCGCGCGGATGTGCACCGCGTATGGAAAGTTTTAATCATCAGAGAAACAATATTTTAAAGGGCTCATAATTTGTCAAACACGACGTGCACAAATTATTGCGCATTATTTATATTAAATTTATTTCTCTTTTATGTTAATATATTACGTAATATATCATATTAATTGCTATGATGACACTTAATTTTGTCATACTAATTGCAAGTAAAAAAAGATGTCACGAATTCTAGAATATCGGACAACCGATTTTCTAAATATAATTTAGAAAAAGATACTTAAATTTAAAAAATTTGCTGCTTTGTATATGTCTTTGAATAACAGAGAAAAAAAAGATTTTACCACAACATCAATCATGGACAATCTTAAACTTTAATTAACAATTAATAAAATCGAATACCTTACCTTACCTTACCGTATCTGCATGTCTCGCACCGTCCAGTAACATTTAGTAATATGTGAATTGATAAACAGCGTTTGCAGTACTCAATGTGTACGTAGTATATGTTTAAAGCGGAAAAATATCAAACACAGGCCGTTGATTAATTCGGCCAGTATCCTGTTCAAGTGCGCGGCCATCGTCGTCATTGCTGCCACCGCCGCCGTCGCCGCCGCCGCCGCCGCCGCCGCCGTCGGCGCCGCCGTCGCCGCCACCGGTGATATCCGGTTTTCCATATAAAATTGGCCACACGCGTTGTCGAAGGGAAGGCGGATAAAAACCGTCGTTCCCAATCGAATGCATTTTTTTAGTGACTGGCTTGACGCCTGTCGCGCTCATAATTGCCCGCAGCGGGGTCGACGTGCTTGCCGTTTTATCTCGCTATTGCATTCTCGCTCCGAAGTTAAAATGGGCGGACACGCGAGGAGAACATGGCAATGGTCTTGCCAAACGAGAAACAGCTCTCGAAGAGAGTCAGAAGCGCAACGGCGCCATGTCGCGATTTCACGTCCTCCAGAATCCTGCTTGACGGAACTCGCCTTGCGGGAACTGCCTCGCCGTACGTAATCAGCCTCCACCGACTTCATTTCGTCCGAAATGCAAGTCCGCGAGCGGCGCTCAAATATAATCCCGACGACGTGTCTCGAAGAAGCGCGAGACCACGCCGTTTGACAAATAAGCAGAGCGGACTGTTTTGCTCGATGAATGTCGATCTTGCTAGTTCGCGTGACAGTCTGCGTTCGACTTATCGCCGAGGAGAATCAAGGTGTCTTATTGTTAGCACGTGTTCATCGGAACGCGTCGATTCTTTGTGGAGAATTGTTGCGAAATTCTTTGTTGAGGAATAACCATCTGTTCGAAAATTTCTCCTTCGTCGGAGTTTTTGTCTTCCCACGAAGGATCGAGGACTAAAAGTAAAGGACGGAAAGCGCGTCTGGGAACTTCTTGCGAAACGCGACCTTTTTTTTTTTGATTTTTTTTTCCCAAGAAGAATCGATTCTCGATTGGCTAGAATTTGCTCGGTTCACCGGATACGTAGCAACGTTTTACCGTATCTCGCGAAGCGATGTCCGAAACGGGCGGCATCCAGAAACATGGCGAAAAAATCGACAATCAGGTGCGCCACTCGTTTCGACAGGTGTTCGCTTCGGAGGCAATGCAATTTTCTTTGGATTCGACACGTTTTCCTCGTCGTTTTACTTCACTGATCGTCAGCACTCGATCTGAAAGCAGAAGCGAAAAAACGTTCGATTAGTATGATATAAAAAGCTGCATCGAGCCGCGCGCATTGTTGTGATGGTCATTCACGACGCTTAAAAGATCGTATTTCACGCTGTGTACAAAATTCGCTAATATAATAATAAAAAAATATTCCCGATTCTAGTTTTTACTCACTAAAATATAATTACATTTTTCTCTTCCTTTGATTAAATCATTAAAAATATCGTATTAATAATAAATAATGAGAGCACGACATACCCGAAGATAATCCTTCCTTATTTAAAAAAAATGTTTTTTTTAAATTATTCATTTGCTCGGACATGTCATCTTTATTTATTTATTATTAATAAGACAGCGATATAATTGTATTAAATACACGGCAATAGTAATTGTCATGCATCGCGATCGTATTTCCGACATGCAATTACGATAACGTAAACAAATTGGCATTGTCTTATGCAATACGCCTTACGCAATGTATTACGTCATTTGGTATGCATTTCTGCGATACCAAATTTCCAAGATTTCAGAGAACGTGAAGTGATGTGATTTACGTGAAAAAATAATGAAATTGATGCGATATAATTCAGACGTATACGTATTACACTTGAACGTATAATCTGCGTCATTCTTTTTTTTTCATTGAATAATTTTCTATCGAAAAAATATAACACTGGATTATTATATATGTCATTAGTTTTGTCAGTCTATCACTACTGCAGTCACTTTGTAATTGTCATCGATTATCTATGATAAGAAACAAGTGTGCGCTTTATAACAACTACTTGCCGCAGCAGTTACGATTACGCAATGATGCTAGGCATCGCGTTATTTTATTGTTGCCCTCATATCGACGTGAACGCATCAAGCGGTGTGACAGAAACACGACGTTAGATCCGATTACGTTCAAGAATGCTACGCATCATTTATCGACATCATCAGAAACGTCACTTGTTTGCACTGTCATCGTGCGATAACGGCAAAGATATTTCGCTGTTCAATTAATAGAATAATAAGAATTTTTAACGTCATTGCCATCCAAGCGTTTAATAAAACGGATGGAATCCAACATAAATCACGGGTACGTTAATGTAAAGGAAAGTCCAGTTGTTACTGAATACCGGAAACCGCAGACTGGGAAACGCAGCCAAAGAGAAGTTAACGACCGACGTGTCGACTTATCCGGCGGATATTAAATCTGGTAGCGGGACGTTTCTCATTCGAGAAGTTTTCTCGGTGAGGCGACCTCGGCCAGAGGAAATTTACCGCGATGCTTTAAGAACGTCAGATCGCGAACACCGAGAGGAAGGAGGCGGACAAGCGGTACACGTTCTCCGCCACGAAATCCACTACGGAAGAACGGCGAGAGAAAAGAGAAGGAGCGAGAGTGAGAGACAGAAAGAGAGGAAAGGGATAAGAAAGAGAAGGGGATGCGAAGTGGTAAGGGGTAAGAGGAGATAGCGGCGGGGTCGCAGAGGGAGTATATTATGTTCGCTAAAGCAATGTTACCAACTTGAGAACTGGCGAACTAGCTGACAGTAAAATCCATTTTATGTCTCCCTCGTAAAGCCAGTCAAATGAAACCTGGACTTAGTTTTCATACGTGCAGCCACTGCCGGGCCCGGTTTCCTGTGTACCGCGACGAAGGATTGCAATAGACTTTTTCGTCAGTCTAGACACATTGGTTCCTTGACCGGATATATCTATTGGGTCAGCTCTTGCGAGCTTGTTGAAGTCTCGTTCGCAGCTACCCGACGACAAGATCACGTTTCTCTATGTTTCAATCACTATCATTTCTAAAATCGCTGCGAATTATACGTACATAGAAAAATATCCAAAGGATCACTCCAACCCGAAAACTTGGATTTAAGTCAATTGTAAAAATAAAGCGTTCGAGAATTATTTAATTATGTAAACCGATTAAAATATAATAACAAATGAAATATTATGTTGTATTGACAACAATAGTCATACAATTATTTTTTGTCCAGAGCTTTGCTCTTCATATATCTTAAATAAAAGATTTAAAAAAAATAAATAAAGATATAAAATTAAGAGTACAAAAAGAAATCAATGGAAACAGAATGTTAATTGCAAGATTAAAAACATGATACATATTTCGATTAAGACTTCTATTTTATCTGAGATACGAAACAGTAACTTGTAAACAAAGAGCGATGCAAGACAGACACTAAAAAGCTTGACCAAGCAAAACATCGTTCGGTACTAAACTCAGTCGCGTCGTAAAACACGTCCCGCAGTAGACATACGTCTCGAAAGCGTAGTGGCAATAAAGGCCCAATCCGCATCTTCGGACGATCCACTTTGAAAGAATCTTTCGTAGACGTCACGATCTCAGAACCGTTTAATCGGTTCCTTTGTTTATCGATACTGCAATATCGTATCTAGAAATGTCATCGATAAGAATCAATCGTGTTTCGATTTGAAAACGCACAAGAAGACAAAAATAAAGAAGAAGTAAGAAGAGTTCGATGCAAAACTGACACGCATTTGTTATCACGACGCGATAAAAATGATCAAATCTTAAATCGTTGAAGTATTAAATGATAAATATAAATGTAACAGTCAAGAAATTATCAATTATTTCAAAGACAAAATACATCCGACAAATAAATCCAACAGAAAGAAACGTCATTAAGGAAAATTAAATTCATTGTTGTGCGTGCGACGATCATGCGTTGTCGTCCATCAATGTTACACGTCACATCAATTTAACCGGCCGGCGAAGCTCGGAATATTATTTCCACTCGTAAAGCGATCCCTCTAACGATCGACGGTTACTTTGATGCTGTTTTCAGGGGAGATGGTGAAGCTGGTGTTATGCTCGTCCCGGTCGTTTCGCACACATAGATCTCTCTCTCCTCACCCCTTCTTCGTTTCTCGCTCTCGCAAAACCGCGCCGCAATATACGATTCGTTTCGTTTTCACGAGGCTCTAACCGGCCGCGTTGCACCGGTCTTTTTACGAGCGACAGGTTCGCTCGAGAGCGCCAGCCACTTTGTTAAGTACACGTATCTATAACGGCGCATTACGATGTGCGGCAAGATCTACTTGCGTTAAGAGTGCACGAGAACCTTCGAGAACCTTGGACGACCGATTGCGAATCACGACGACGCGCGAACCAATAGTCGCTGCGAGCGACGTGAATTTATTGAGCACGAGAGAAAAAGAGGAAACATTCGTCTCCGCCACGCTCTTGCCGCTTCTTTTTTCTTCACACCTTTTTCATACTCGTCGGGACACGATGAATCGTAAATAGTTGAATACATTTTTTCGCGTATCGCTAAAGTGGCATTTTGCGCTTGTTTAGTATGCCGATATTACACGATTATGCATTCTCTCAAAAACTATAATATCGTGCATCTTATTGTACGTTGTCGCCGTTTCTCGGAAAAGAAGAAACGTATCAATATGCATAATTGCACGAGCAAAGACGATAAACATTTTAGTCTTGCGCCACGTATAAATTATAAATGTTACATATAAAATTGTGCGATAAATTAAAATCTCGTAAATTTAAAGCAGTTTCTCTACATTATAAATGATATATATGATAATAATAATCACAATAATAAAGATAATGATAAAATAATAACGGAAAGCAAAAGGATTAGCCGATAGCGCGCATCGATTTATGTTTCCATTCTTCCAAAGAGATTTTCTCCTCCTCCAAATTGGTTATAGAGCGCTTCAAAAAATGATTTACAGCTATGTCGCCCCATAATCTCTCTAACCACGTGATCTCCGCTATACCTGCTCATGCCTCGATCATCCGTTCCGGTTCAGTGCTATCCTCAGCAATTTCCCTTGCTGTAATGTCGCTAATTATGAACTCGTTTAAAGAGCTTCATTGAATATTAAAGCGTGAATTATCGGTTACCTTGTATTCATTAATGTTTCTCTTATGCGACGATAAATATTTTCGATTTAACAAAAAATTTGAAAACATTTGCATTTATTGATTATCGTCGCTAATTATAATAGAATTATACCGATTCGGAATTGCTTAAATGCCAAAAAAATTCTGTCGTATTTTTGATTGACGAAAAAAATAGGAAGGCATAAAAATTAGATTAGGAAGATACAATCTTTAATGCTAAGCGTCGGAGCAACCTAGGCGCTTTTAAGGAAGTTCGCTCGCATATTTTATCTTTTGTGCAAACGATTGATTATTAAACGATTTTCGTCAAAGATAGTAGCAATTTTGCAAAAAAAAAACAAAAAAAATTTATGCAATGCACATATTTAAAGAGAAAAGCTTTTCTCGATAGAATGTCTCTTATAGCAGATAATCTGGGCAGATTCCAAAATGAGCAGCGACTGCTCGAAAAGTCGTAAACGAAGTCTAAGGAGAAGGAGACACATTCAGACAGACGCAGCTAAAATGGAAACGGCCGCGGCGGTTACGAACAGCGGTGGATAGAGGTTTATCGCTTAGCAGTAAGTGCTTCGCGGATTTTCACACCTACATCTGCGCGTTGCCATCCTTGACGGGGATGCAGGGTAGGCGAGAAAGGAAGATCGTAAAAATCAGTGTGAACACTTGAAACAATATCTACTCTACTTCGAACGTAAACAAACTCATCCGAATGTTGGCGAACAATCTTTTCTCCCTCAGCCTTTTCTCGCACTTTTCTTCAAAGCTT